GGGGGGGGGGGTGAAAGAAAAGAAAAAGAAAAAGAAAATGAAGAAGATAGAATGGACACAAAATTAATTTTAATCTTCTTTCTCAGATTGCTTTTCTCCTTCCTCCTGAATTTGTACTTTTTTCTTTCCTTTTCTCTTTTTCTTTTTTCCCTCCTCCTCAGTTTGCTTTTGTCCTTCCTCCTCAGTTTGCTTTTGTCCTTCCTCCTCAGTTTGCTTTTTTCCTTCCTCCATCTCCCTCTCCATTTCTTCAGCTTTTTCCAATTCCAAAATGGCTTCTGGTACCGGATACGAATCTTTCTTTTCCTTTATTGGTTTAGGTTGTGGAAATTTATAATTATTACCAAAAAAACCGTACAATTTGCACAACACTATTTGCGCTTTGATCGTTAAATAGTGCGGTTGTATTGCAATTTCATAAAATTCTTCAATATTTTTTAATAAAATTCCTATCGCTCGTATTATTTCATTTGTTTCCGATAAATTTAGTGCCTCATTAAACGAATCCTCGATCAAATGCAACGTGGTCAAAACATCATACATGTCGACCTTTTTACGGCACATATTACAAAACATCAATTTTTCCTGTATTTTATCCATAAAATGTGTTTTGTAACATCCCCAGGTTTTACATCTGTAATATAATAAACAAAACAAAACAAAAAATTGAGTCAATTTTTTTTTATCAATCATCCCTTTGAAAATATATATGTATGAGCCATTTTATTTTGAAAATAACCTAACTTCATTTTCCAAAAAAAAAAAAAAATAATCAAGTTGGCTACTGTAATAGTTTCATTTTGACATCATCAAATTCAGATTTATATACTCAAGCAATTTGTTTATAAATATATTTCAAACAAATCATGATGATTTTGTAAGAAGACAATTTCTCGATTAATGGAATCATGTAAATGTTTATTTTGAAAGTAACCTAACCTCATTTGTCAAGTATTATTTTTCGATTGCACCTGATGATTATCGTACAACTTCATGTTATACATCATTAAAGTATTTGAAATTGCTTATATTCTGCGTAAATATGATAATGCAGATGAGTATTAAATTGTTTTGTAGGTTATGTAATTGTAAAAAATGTAGTAGAATCACATAAATTATGTTTCTGAAGTATTTGAAAGATATTTCAAATAAATTGAGTATTGTGTTTTTTTTTTCAATTTAAATTATCTTCATTTATGTTGAATGAACTTAAATAAATCCTTTTCAAAATTTGATAAAAAATCACATTGTTGATTTGAGGTTAGAAAATGCATATTATTATTATTATTCACCTAATAATTGCTATTATTTTAACAGAAATTATAAATTGAACACCATCACGTACATTCAAGCAGTATAACCTCATTTTAATTGCATTCAAACACGTATAAATCTTTTTTAATATTTTGATTTGCAACATAGGATGGAGTTAGTCCACTTTCAAAATATTGGGGGATCTCTGGCAGAGGGGGCGTGGCGTAGCAAAATTTGACCTATCTACTCTAATTTTGAATTTAACCACCAGATAGCGTATGTATTCAAGTGCTAAAGATCCCATCACGTGACGTAGCAATTCGACCAATCTACTCTAATTTTGAATTTAGCCACCAGATAGCGTATGTATTCAAGTGCTAGAGATCCCATCACGTGACGAAGCAATTCGACCAATCTACTCTAATTTTGAATTTAGCCACCAGATAGCGTATTCGAGTGTAGTTAGTCTTACCTTATTTTTGTCAAGGAGTTGTTCATATATTTCCCCAATGGCCACATCTCTTCGCAAGGTTTACATTTACATTTAAACCAATATCTACCCAAAAGAGTTACTTGACGTTGAGTATAAGGATCACGCTCAAAGCAAGGACCATAAGAATCTGGAATCGATTCACCAGGTTGAAATGGTCTAGCAGCTCGTATAATTACACCTTTCTGAATGTTATATCTATAATAATAATAATAATAATAATAATAATAATAATTATTATTATTGGTTAATATTAAAATTCGGTTATTTTTTCATTTATTTATTTATTTATTTCATTTTTAACCCATTACCCAGCTTTACACAATGGCCCATTTTTTGGGAAAGCATTTTTGAATTATTTTTTATTTTGTTTTTTTTTAAATGTAATTTAAATAATATTATATAAATTCTATTTTATTTTAAATTAATTAAAAAAAAATATATATATAAAATTATTGTAAAAATAATTTTCAATTTGAATAACATTATACAGTTAATTTATTTATTTATTTTTTTTTGTGTATTTTTGTATTATAAAGGGGTAATGGGTTATATTGTTCTTGCTTGTTGTAACATTTTTTTTTTGGCTAATAGTTACAAAACTTTTGTAAATCAACAAAATTTGATTTTGTAATAATTTTTTTTTCGCTTTTTTATTTATTATTTTTCTATTTATTTATTTTTGTTGTTGTTGTTGTAGTGGTGGTTTTTCTTTTTACCTTGCCACAGCAGGAGCGCATTCGTGATTGAAAAGTCTAGCGGTTGGATAAATTGCAACTGCTGTAGTCACTATATGTCTACGTGGTAGAAATTCATTACCTGTGAACTTAGTTTCATAAACCATGTGACAATTGAATGGAATTGATTGCATAGTATTTAATATCAACGAAGCAACCTTTAATTCTTCATCGTTTGGTACATCTGTAAAATCAAAATCAAAAACTAAATTAGAAATCTTTGATATGTGTTTGTGTGTGTGTGTGTGCACATCTAAGTGCGTGCGTGCGTGAGTGTGTGTGTGTTTTTTTTAATAACAATTATTTATTCTAATTTTAATATTTGAACACGTTGAGCGCCACGTCAGACATCGATGACTGACAGTAGACTTTTGGTTAAGGCCTCGTCAGTCACAAATGACTGACAACGTATGATATGATATTTCTTATTGGTGGTGCGTGGCCTGGCAGGGACTTATTTGAAAATAAGTGTGGCGCTCAACGTGTTAATAATGTAATTCAATAATATTTGATAATTGTTTGGTTTTTCATATGTTTTTATTTTTTAATCCATTTTTCATGGGTTTCCCTTTTAGTCGGCTTTTACGACAAGCAGGGATTACTGGGGGGGTATTCTTCCCCGCCACCCCCACGGGGTTGTATATATTAATATTGTTTAATATTATAATTCATTGTGTAGTTAATTTTTATTATATTATTATATAACAATTAATTTCTATAATAATATTATTTATATAATAATAATAATAATAATAATAATAATAATAAAATTGTTTTTTCTACAATTATAAATATTTATTTAATTATAATATATAAAATATTATTAATAATATTATTAATAATTAAAACTAATTTTCTTTTTATTTATTTAAATTAATATAATAATATAAAATAATAAATATTATATTTAAATATTTTAAATAATAATAATAATAATTACCATCATCGCCAGAGGTTGTTTTAAAGAAATTAACTTTTTGTAAACATCTCAATAAAAATGCAGCTACCAATGTTCTAAAAAACAAATCAGTCGTCTCCCTTTGCGAACTATGATTAAATAATTCATACAATGTTGTATCGATTTTTTTCTCTGGCTCTTTTTCACTTTCCTTCAATGACATCGATGCCAAATTTTCACTCAAATTACTTGCCATATTACTACTTGCCATTTTTTTCCTAAGCCTCCTTTTTGCCGATTTACTTAATTTCTTTTCACCTCCATCTTTTTTATCATCAGTTTTATCATCTGTTTTATTAAGAGCATCATAAATTTTTAAACAATTATCTAAACCTTCTTTGGCGACACCCCTAAATGCTAAATAGCACGCTGTACTCATACCAGAACCTACACAATAACAAATTAAATGTCATATATATAAATTATGTGTCACGTTGTTTGTCCGCAATGGACTCCTAAACTACTGAACCGATTTTAATCAAATTCAACACATTGTGTGCAATTTGATCCTACTTGAAAGACAGGATAGTTTATAATAAACAAATAATTTGCAATATTATATTATTGTGTATCGGACTGATTGTGAGCCACAGCAAACGCGTGGCGGGACACCCCTATAGTATATTACATTAAAATATTATATTTAATGTATTATATTATATATTTATAATATTTAATTTAAATATAATATTAATTATTAATAAATTAACCCTGACGCAACCCTGACGCAACCCTACAATTATCCTACTTCAGATATTCTGCAGTCGTCTCATTCTCTCGAAACTTAGATTTTTCAAGGTTTCCACTTCTAACACGTGTGATCTGCCCACATGATATTTTTTTAAATAGGTGACAATAAAATTGCATTGACAAAAAAAAATAATAATAACAACAACAACAACAACAACAAAAAAAAAAAAAGAAAGAACGAAATTTATCCAACTTACCATCCATAAGATTCTGAAGTCTGCATTCATATTTGTGATACGTTGATAATGCAATATCCCTGCATTTTCTGCTACAAAAAGCTATGTCAAAACAATTCGGACAACCAAGCGGTGCAAATAATCTGAAGACAAAAAATTATATCCCAATACATTTCCAATAAATTTTATATACATATACAGGGTGATCTGTAACTGGTGGAACANATAAATGGAAATTATAGAGAAAAATAATTGTTCGTTTGATGATTTGTTTTCAAAAAAAAAAAAAAAGAAAAAAAAAAACCCTAACTTTGAATTTTCGCAAAGTACGCGTGCAACTTGCACTTGAGTTTTTGTTTTTGTTTTTGTTTTTTCTTCTTCTTCTTTAAAATTGGACATTTACCTATCAAGACAGTGTGTACAATGATCACCATGAAAATTGTTTAAAAGATACCAGACTAAAGGTTCCTCAACAACCAAAACTTCACCAGTTCTAATTCTTTCTTTCGCATAAATTTCGTTTCCAGCCTGTTCCGTGTATCTAACGTCCAATTTAGCTGATGCATTTACCATTACTGGATGTCTCTCACCAATTATTTCTGGTAATTCACCTGTTAATGATAAACACAACAATTTCCTAATTTACGTTTCTTTCAAAATGTATTTCAATTAATGTTTGTTTAAAAACATCAATCAATCAATCAATGCAATAAAAAAAAAATTCAATTTAACATAAATATAAATTTGTCAATTATTATTTTATTCATTTATTAATTATCCTTATATTAATCATACTTTAATAATAATAATAATAATAATAATAATGTTATTAAATATTCATCTTGTATCTAACAATTTAATACTTTTATTTTTATTATTATTTATTAAAAGAAAGAAAAAAAAAAAGATTGTTCAGAACTATAAAGAAATGTATTGTGTTAAAAAAAAAAAAAAAAAAAATAAAGGGATCGTGGAATATATTTTCTGGACAATATATTGGTTTTCCTATTCCCTTTTGATATATTCTGCATAATGTTTGCATGCATGTATTTATAGATACATGGTAATATCGACAAGATCAAATCTTGAAGGGATCTATCTTTCACATCGGATTCCCATAACCCTTTGTGTGTGTGTGTGTCCTTTCACAAAGAACTTCGACAATATTCTATTATTGAGCTGAGCTTTTCTTTTTTTTCTAGTTTTTTATTCTTTTGTATTCTTTGTTTTTTTCTAATACAAAGATCAATAAAATTCATTTGACTATATATATATATATATATATATTTAATTAGTTGCATCTTAGGTTACATGATTATTTTATTTATTTAATTATTATAATATTTTAAGACATATATTTTATAACATTTAATTAACCTTTGTTTACCACACTTCGGTCCAAATGACCCAGACCTTTTTTTGCAACATGAGTGTCGTCATTTTTCTCAATTGTACTCAACTTTGATAATTTTGTTCAACATATTTAAATTTAATTTAAAGCTATAAAACCTATTATAGTCTTTTAAGTAAGTATTAAAGAAGTGTCCAAAAAAATTTTGAATTAAATCTATGCAATAGTTTTTTGTTTATAACAATTTTTCTCACGGGGTTGGTAAGCGTGTTACTCCAGGAAGGGTGGTATAAGCAATGGTTAATTATATTTAAGTATTTAATTTAAATATATTTATTAAGTAATTATTTAAGTATATTTAATAAGTAAATTAATAATATAAATATTAATCTTATTTTTTAATTGCTTCATTGATCAATTAATTGCATCTTAGGCAATTGTATAATAAATTGTATATATTATTTCACAAGTGAACAATTGTTGTTTAGATACTTAACAGAATTCGAAATTGGAAGTTGGATATATTATTTGCTGTTAGTATACTGGATTATGTTTTCCATATAGAGAGGATGTTATTTCATCTTTAGTATGTCAGTTTACATTTATACTCTGTTATATATATATATATATATATATATATATATATATATATATATATATATATATATATATATATATATATATATATATATATATATGGTGGTATATACTCATGAAGCTTTAGGAAAACAGAATGTTCAACACTTGATTCTAAGGGCTTTGGTTAGGATAATTCAACATTCTATGTTTTGTTTAAATTAATTACGTTTACATAAATTATTATTAATTATTATTATTTGAACAATTAATGATAAATAAATAACAAGTATTCTACATGTTAACAAATAATAAATGATTTTTCAAACGCAGATTTAACAACAAAATTTCAATCATTTACAAAATTCAAAAAAAAAACAAAAAGCAATTATTATAAATTTAAATACAATTCCAATGCATGAATACACCAAAATCTAATCCCCACATACACACACACACAAAGAAATACACATATACATTTATGTATATATATGTTTATTATTTCGTTTCGATTATTTATACTGGATGATATTTTTCAGTATAAAAAAATTTAACGAGTATTGGGGAAGGGGACGGTCGAAAAAAACATATTTTTCCCATAAATAGTAACAACTATCATCTTCGAAAGATCGATCGATTTATATCGAACATCATAGTAGATGTGCATATGTGCATGTGTGTATATGCATATGTGTGTGGCTTATAGTTTGACGAAACATTGATGGAATAATATTCACCGATATTTTTTTCAACGTGTTCGCTCCTCTCACAAATGCATGGAATTGTTCAACAACCATTCTCAACTGTGCACGCCTCGTTTCCACGGGAAATCCGATATTTTACGAACCGAGAGAACAGAGTATTTGCCACTGAAATAAATGATTGCCAAACGAGAGAGAAAGAGAGAGAAAGAGAGAGAAAGAGAGAGAAAGAAAAAACTTTATCCCACCGCGACTTGATCAGTTTTCCATATATATAATATATACATATTTGCACGTGTATGTATGTATATATATATATATATATATATATATATATATATAAATATACATTTAACAGACTATTTGTATGAACAAAAAAGATAAATTACAATAAAAAAAATTTTTCATTTTATCTTTCATCATTTCATTTTACTTTTTTTTTTTTTTGACGTAGAATTTGTCTAATGACGAGTATACTCGTCATTGAAAAAATGACGTAGAATTTGTCTAACGACGAGTATACTCGTCATTGAAAAAGTGACGTAGATTTTATCTATTGACGAGTATACTCGTCATTGAAAAAGTGACGTAGAATTTGTCTAACGACGAGTATACTCGTCATTGAAAAAGTGACGTAGANCATTGAAAAAGTGACGTAGAATTTGTCTAACGACGAGTATACTCGTCATTGAAAAAGTGACGTAGAATTTGTCTAACGACGAGTATACTCGTCATGGAAGAATTGACGTAGAATTTGTCTAACGACGTGTATACTCGTCATTGAAAAAGTGACGAAGAATTTATCTATCGACGAGTATGCACGTCATTTTTTATAAATTAGCAATCATTGGCTATTTAAATTGCAATTTTTCGAGAAAAAAAAGATGTAGTCTTAAATTTCAAGATGTTTAGAATATTTTAAGTCTATGTGGGAATAAAACAAACAAATAAAAAACTGTTAAAATAGTTTTCGTTTTAGTTATATTTGCTCTGATTTGTTTTTAATGTGCAAAGATAAAAAGAAAAAGAAAAAAAAGAAACCACAAAAGAAAAAGGAAAAAAAATAAAGAAAGCAATTAATAGTGAAAGAGAAAGAGAGAGAGAGAAGAGAAGAGAAGAGAAGAGAAGAGAGTTCTAGAATGAGTTGTATTCCAGCCTTTTTTATTTGCAATCCCTTAGAAGCAAAGGGATGAAAACATCGATTACTATCAGAACAGATTACTCGTACCAACTGTACGGTGATGACAATGCTTTGCAGGAATAAAGGAAGCAAAGTACAATGATATGGAAATCCTCTCTCAATCGTTTTCCACGTTTTCTCGCTTTCAAATCGTATCAGGGGGGTTGAACAGAGGGTTGGTACAGGGGATATGGAGTGGAGGAGAGGAGGAGGAAGGCCATCATCTTTCATGTCGTGATCTCTAGCAGAAAAATTACTATATTTCGTATTTATTACTATAATACTATACCATATCAAAAAAAAAAAAAAGAAAAAGTTAATTAAATAATAAAAAATATTATACAATAAATAATATATATATATGTATATGTATATTTTTTCAAACTTGATATATTATTATTATTATTATTATTTTTTTCTTTTCAATTTTGTTCAATTCGTTATTTTTTCATTTGTTGTTCATATTTCATCTTCTTATATTAATATAATGAATAATAAGTTTATCGTTTAGGTCAGCGTTTACTTTTTTTTTTTTTCTTTCAAAAACAAGAATAAGAATGTTAATTTTGAAAAAAGGTATAGAATAAGTTTACTATGTTCTCGTTTCAACAATTTTCAAAGTTAATTTATCCTAATAGTTTTTCACCAAGTAAAGTCTTTTCGTAAGGAATGCCAATATCGTAAAGTTATGCATTGATGCATTCTTCCAAACTAAAATTGTCTCACCCTCCTCTCCCCGCCACAACCCCCACAACCCCCATCCTCCTTTTGTTCATTTAAAGTAAAACCAAGATTCATTTTCTATCTTTACATAAGAGTTCATCCTTTCAAAAAATACTATTTTCAAATTTCAACTTTTATCATCATCATCATTATTATCATCATCATGATTTTCATCATTATTATAACGGGTGTAAATCAAAAATTCATACATATTTTAATTATTATTTCCAACGATTTCATTATACAGTTTCAAAGTAAAAAATTCATTTGATCAAATGCAACCCCGAATACTTTTAATTTCGAAAACAATGTGTTCAAGTTTTTCTTAACACATTTAAGGTTTATTTTCAATAAAGAATTTTTTTTTTAAGTACGTTTATTCATCTCAATGGATCCCGTCACGTTTATCAAATACTATGCCTTGTTTCGAGGATAATTTTGAATGTAGGTAGTGTCGACTGTGTCTAAGCGAATCTTGTTATCTAACGAAAGGTAGAACTCAACGTGAGAGAAGAGAAAGAGAGACAGGTAACTCGATGGAGAAGAGGGAAAAGGGGGCAAGGGGGTGCGGGTGGGGGTGGGAGAAGGGTTATGGTGTAACAACCCTAGTTGTCGCCGTCAACAATGTTGTCCTTCGTGTGATCCATGTCAAGGAGGGTGACAATAAATATATTCGAAAGGTATAATCCCTGATGCAAAACACATGTGTTTTCCTCATATTAATAATTTATTTAAATATTATTATTATTATTATTATAGTATATTAATTATTATTATTTTTTCCAATTAATTAAGTGTATATATAATTTTATTCATTTGCAATCTCACATTAATTATTATTATTATTATTATTATTAATATTTGTATACAGTATTAATATTATATATTATAAATTAAAAATAAAATAAAATATTTGTTCAATATTATTATTATTATTATTATTATTATATATTATATGTTATATATTAAACTTATATAAATTAATATTATATAATATATACTATATTAATTATTATTATATTTTAATTAAATATTAATATATGTATTATATTCATCATAAAATATATTGTTGGTTCAATTATATTAATTCAAAATAAATAAAAAGAAAAATAATAATTAAAAAAATAATAAATCTTATGTTGTTTAGAAGTTCTGAACATTTCAAATCAATTCACGTACAATCATGGTGTATATGTTTTATTATTAAATAATAAACCACGTATAAAAGACATAAATAAATCTAATGAATTAGATTTAACTGTAATCTGAGAAGAATTATATTTCAATGTTATTCAATAATTATGACAAGGATTTATTATAGAAATAAATATATATATATATATAGATATATATTGTATATAGGTGTGTGATATCTCTCTCTCTCTCTCTCTATATATATATATAGATATATAGATGTGTTCAAGAGAGATCAAAGGTTTAGAGGTTTAGGGTTAAAGACCTTTGTCTACCATACAGTTCATACAGTTTCTACTAGTTTGTACCTTTTTTGTTTCAACCCTCCTTATATTATTCCAGACACGCACGAGAGAATATATACACACCCTAACAAAATTATCGTGCAACTGAAATCATGTTTGGCTTTTCTCAACGAATCGATATTTCGATCATGGTGTTGTTAGGTAGTATTATATATCCTACCTAATATCACAATTTAGATCTTATTACATCTTTTATACAATTAATCATTATTTTTCACCTTTCATTATTTGAAATGATTTATAATAATTTTTATGATTTCTCTATTGAAATGTGATTAGAAAAAAAAAAAAATAAAATTGTATTTGTATATTAAATATTATCATGAAAATTATATTATTAATTATTTAGTTATGATATTATATTATATATTATATTATATAGTATGGTATGTATTGTTTTTTTATGTGTAAAAATAATATTAATAAAAAAGGACAGAGATGTAATAAATGACAATTATAATATATTATATTAAGTTAGATTAGGGTATATTTTATTAGATCATGGTATATTATATTATAGTTTATTATATTTTAGTATATTAAATTATATTAGGTAAGATTATATTATATTATAGTATATTAAATTATATTATATTATATTATAGTATATTAAATTATATATTATATTATATTATAGTATATTAAATTATATTATATTATATTATAGTATATTAAATTATAGTATA